ACCTGTATGCATTTTTATGAATGGTTTATTTCTCCCTTGTAACTTTTTATGACCTTTATGATACCTTTTTTTTTTTCACTCCCACTGCCATTGAGTCAATTGTGACTCATAGTGACCCCCATTGGATTTCCAAGGCTATAAATCTTCATGGAAGTAGATTACCTCATCTTCTTCTCTCAGAGCAGCTGGTGGGTTTGAACCACTGACCTTCTGGTTAGCAGCCAAGTGCCTTACCTAGTATGCCACTAAATCTCATTATATAGTCATTGACCAGTGCCATTTATCTTATGAGTAGAAAAAGTAATCAATGAGTGAATAAAGGGATTTATCCACTTGACCATATTGACTTTGTAGATCAACGTAAATGAGACGTAGGACCCCTTAGTCCATTGTCTAAAAATAACTCATGTGATATGATAGTTAATGCATTTTGTAGCTACTTGTCTGCCTTTCATTAAGAAGTAGTGTCACTTTCACACATAGACAAGAAACATTAAGGGACAGTTCTACCAGATTGTGGGGATGGTGCTAGGAATCACACTCCTAGCATACTGGGAACACTGGCTGGTAGGCTGAGGTACTGTGGTGACACTGTGGAGCTCCCCTCATGCCTCCTCCTTATGTAGATGTGGAGGGAGTAGTAACCTTCCCCAGCAGGAAGCGATCCTTTCCATTACCCTCAGACCTCAGTGCCTGTGGCTTCTGGATAGGGGCAGTTCAGAAGCCAAAGGCTAAGAGCTGGGGCACGGGATGGATTAGCCCAGTGGAGTCCAGTGGGCAAGGGTAGGCTTGGAAACTTCCCACATTTTTTTTTTTAAACTCATTACAGTGTCTCACACTAGATCCTCAATACATATTCAATTACTGAAGGGTGAGTAAAATTAGAAGATAGGTTTACTTTTGGGTTACCAACATGGAACTAATGAAGACAGGTAACTTGTTTTTAAATATGTGAAGAATATCTGACCATGGAAATCAGGCAGCAAATTTGTATCCTTTTGCCAAACAAATGACTACGGACAGTGATTACAAACATTTAGTCTGTTGTCTACCCCTTTGTGAAAATGTGTATAACCAAATACCCCCAATTTTTCCTAGTTTGGATTTAGAAATATTTTTTGTTTCTGTGAGTCATTTATTGTAATAATTATTAAAATTAAAATTTTAGTCCTATTATACACACATACACACACTCACTGCTGTGGAATTGGATCCAACTCATAGTGACCCCTCCTTGGGTTTCCGAGGTGATATCTCTACGGAAGTAGATTGCCCCATCTTTCTTCCGAGGAGTGGCTAGTGGGTTTGAACCGCCAGCCTTCTGGTTAGCAGTCAAATGCCTCAGGCACTACACTACCAGAGTTCCCAGTCCTATTATAGTGCCCTGCCTTTTGAGTATCCCATGAAGTAAATTATACTTATGATATAGGAGGAATGTGGTGTATCTGCACTAATAATTAAAAAAAAAATTCAAACCACCATCATGAAGCCCCTGGCTTTAGATTGCAATTAATGACAAATCCTACCAGATTTTATTATTTGAATACATATGTAAAAGCAATGTGTATTGAGGTTGGTGCTTAGTGAATTAACTCACAATATTGTGAATATATTTGGCGAAGGTATGAAATTGCAGAAAAATGAGTTTATTAATGGAAATTAGGCTAGATGCTAATTATTACCTGTGAATAGTGTCATCATTTGAAGTTTTTATTGCATTTTAACACATGGCTTATCTTGATGAGAAAATATATAGCAAAGGGTAAATGTAGCAATTTTCCTTTTACTATTCCCTCTGCTAAGCCATTATTGCTTGATGTTATTTTTCAGCAGCCTTTCATTTTTGTCCCAAATGTTTTTGCCTCTGGCTGATTTTATTTCTTTAAAATGTATGTGTATCACTGCTCAAAGAGATACATTTTGACAGGTAATCGATATTTTTTCATACTAGATTTGATGGTGCAATGGTCATAATCCTCATTTTAGACTTAGTTAATGGTTGAATACTAACCTTGATTTTTATCTCAAAATATTCCTTTGTTAAGAAAAATACTTTCCATCCTTAGCCAAAATCCTTTTTATCACTACTCCCCCTTTCCCAACCCTAAACAACTCGATACCTGCAAAAGGCCTAAGATAGGCCTAAGATGTACGGAGTCTACTTATCTGAGATACATATCACTTGACTTTGTGATAGTGTGTCCTGAAAATGTCTCCTGATAACACTGCCAACTAGCTTACTCGATTGGTCACAGAAACAATACTTCTGGACTCTACTTCTCTCTCTCTCTCTGGGCAACCTGTGATCTTTATTTCAAGAAGACAAGTGTTTTTTTTCCCTTTTCTCTGTCTAGTGAAAGCTTGGTGTACCCTTCATTAGACCTTACTTTTCCTAAGAGGACCAACACAATCAAGACCTAGTCCTTACCCCGTTGCCATCAAGTTGGTTCCAGCTCATGGTGACGCCATGTGTGTAGAGCACAGCTGTGTTGCACAGGGTTTTCAGAAGCTGATTTTTTCGGAGTAGCTGCCAGGGCTTGCTTCTAAGGCATATCTTGGTTGACCCAAACCACTAACCTTCTGGTTAGCAGTCAAGTGCTTTAACCATTTTTATGCCACACAGGGACTCCTCAGAGCTCTCAGAACATAAGTATATAATAAGGACACCATATTTGGCTTTGGCTTTTAAGAATTCATCTTCTTGAGTGACATTTTTTTTTTTCTAAAATCAGTTAGAACTTTCTTAAGCCCCTGTGGGAAGATAACAGTAACAGTGTAAGTTAGTAAATGTATCCTGACCTGCTGCCAAAGCTTTGTTTAAGACAGCATTTCAAGTACAAGAAACTTTTTGTGCTCCTCTCTCGGGAGGTAGAGAGTTCCTGGGTGGTACAGATGATTAATGTGCTCGGCTGCAAACTGAAAGCTTGGAGGTTCTAGTCCTCTCAGAGGCATCTCAGAAGAAGGGCCAGATGATCAGCTTCCAAAAAGCCAGCCAATGAAAGCCTTATGGAGCATAGTTCTATTCTGACAGATATGGGATCTCCGTGAACCGGAACTGGCTCGACAGCAACTGGTTCTCTCAGGAGGGTGACTTGAGGGAGTTGTTAGTTATCGCTATTCGTCGAGTGCTTCACCACTTGTGCCACCTGGGGACTGCTACTGAGAAGGGACACTAGTTGCCATTCTTCTTGGTTTTATTGAAGAGTAAGGTGTTGCTCTTTCCGAAAATGATTGAAGTATGAAGGATGGGTATCTATTTCCTACCAGCTCTGTAAATTGTCACTGACAGCAAGCTGATCTCTCTCTCCTACCTCCTCTACTGTTTTTTGATGGGGGAGGGCCTTCAATTTAAATTAAAAAAAAATATAGTTGTCAAAGAGCTATAAAGAAAACATCTTTTGTGGTGGTATTTGTTAGTCAGTTTTGTTTTACGCGCTGACCAGTTTTGTGCTGTTGCTCTGCTTTTATAGATTGCATTATTCTACATATGCACGAGAACTAAAAACTCTCTGGGGTTTTCTTCCTTAAGTGGTATCAAATGAACACGCCTAAGTGGAAAAACACCCTGACACACTTCTCTGCTGCTGATGCTGCTAGTGGTGGCGTTTCTTGACAAGATTTCTCTTTGTATGTCTGGAGATGTATGCAAAAGACCGTTTGGGAACATAAAATGCAATCAGTTTTCCTCAGTGGTTAGATTCATAAATCCCTGAGCCATTTTTAATGACTTAATCGAATCAATTGATAGCAAGCCTAATAGTGTGTTGACAGCCAGAAAGAGACAGAAGGCTGGTGTAACAGCAGGTGAATGCATAAGGAAAGGCTGGACACTCTCTCTCCCACCCTCACAATCAGAAATCATTAGGTAAAATCCAGGAATGATTCACTGGTATTTTAAAATTTTGTCTGCCTACCTGCCCAGCTTTCTTTGAAGAATAAGAGTTTATCTACTATACAGAGTGAAGGAGAATACTCAAACTACAGATAGTCCTTGTGTGTGTCCCTCAGGATCCCACTATTCTCCCAATTTAAATCTAAATTTAAATATCGTTAGCATAGAAATTAAGGGGGAATGATTTATTATAAATTAGTAGTATCATATATTGTCACTCTGTGCCATGCCCATAATGAAAACTTAATATTCATCTCTTGGTTGCTTTGAATTGAAATAAGATGAGGATGAGCGGAGTAAACAAGCTGAAACAGACTGTGAAATTGCATATGATGGGAATCTTTTTTTTTTTTTCCTGCTGCTTATAGGCTATGAACAGGTTAATATTCCAACTAATGATGGCTCTTAGAATTTCTCTCTCCTTTTTACATTTTGTCAGGTATCAACAGAACTAAGTTACTGCCCTGAGGAAAATTAAAATCTAAAATGCTTCTATCTTTGGGCTACGAATTGACTGGCAAGGTATTTATGTAAATGAATTGGCTTTCACGCTGGGAGGTGTAAAGTGTTCTGTGGTGGCTAAAGAGCAGCCGCCTTGGGCCCCCCTTGTTCAGGGAGCTTGTGTATGTTCTGCTACATTTTGTTTTCTTTGATGCCATCAAAAAAGATGAGAGCCAGGCTTGGTGGTGCTGCTTGGCTGACCAGCTGTGCCCTAGTTTTTCACCGTCCCAATCAGCAGCTGCCTTTTACAGAGGTGTCTGTCACCGCTGATTTACTTAGCCACTTTGACCTTACAGTCGCTTCAAAAAGGGCTTGACCCAGAGCCACTGCCTTGAGCGGTTCCCTGGCCGCCCAGGATGCCACAGCCAGCATTTTGAAGAGAAGAAAAACAAGAATCCTAGGATTTCCTGTCTAATAGCAAGAGCCTCCGCCTGGATAAAGGCATTAAGTGTCTGGAGCCCACTTGCTGCTCGCTCTCTCCGAACTGCAAGCATCCGTGATCTCCGAAGTTGCTGGAGTGAATAACTAAGCGGGACCAGCTGACTCGGGGCTCCAATCAGCTAGAGCGTGATGTAAGTGTTTAGCAGCTGCCGGGCTCTGAATTAGCGTGCTGAAGTAGAGGTAGTACAGCATGGCTAGACTGTTGTGAGAGGCTCAGAGAAAGCAGAGGGTAAGATGGATGAGTCCAGCATTCTGAGAAGAAGAGGGCTCCAGGTAGGAGATTGTTCCATTCTTGAAATGTAGCCTTGTCAGTGGACAGCCACTGAGGATTTCAAAGTTCCCTTTTCATTCCTTTACCTTGGCACAGCTATGTGCACAGTTTTCAGTATCTACTTGGCAACGTGATCCTCTGAGTCTCTAGTTACAGGTATGACACATTACAGGGCTCACTAAGGAGTGTTCTTTTGTCAGAGACAATAGGTAGGACTTTGCGTTGGTTACTTTGTTGGTTGTTTATTGTTCTACCGGTTGTTTAAGAATAGTTAAATCGTGGATGTCAGTGACAGCTGATGAGCTGAGTTGGCATTCTGCCAAGTGTCTGGGAAGTCTGTCGAGGGTAGCAACTCTGTTCAGTGCCGGGAACACAGGACTGAGTTTGGGGTCAGGATCAGCCTCCGCACGGCAACATCTGTCTGATTGTGTGGCAGATGTGTGCAGCTGCTGAGCGTTCTCCCCGTCAGTACAACGAAAGTTTCCGCTGGCAGCTCCATCAAAGTTCACTGTAATTTGTTTATGTTGAGATGAGGAGAGATATGTATCTTACTGCCTTGCTTTTTGTGCCCAAGTTTCTCTAATTAAATTACTCTGATTTTAGTGTACAAATGTATTCCAAGTTAAAACTTGGCAAATAAAAACTTGAAAAAACATCTGCTTGTCAGTTTGTAAGTTTAAGAGAGCCAAAACACATAGTATGTTCAAAATTAATATGCTTAACTCCTTGGTTACTCTCTTTCCTGTGTATACTGGATATTTTTTTTTGTGAAAGGATCTAATCACATTAGCCATTGTTAAACTCTTATTCATTATTTTTGAAATAAAAAGTGCATGCTTACCTATATACAATACATGACACGTTTAAAAATGCCTCAGCAATCTTCCTTAATGGTCTTTGAATCAAAGATACATCAGGCTGGTCTGGCTGTGTGCTTTTGGTTCTAAGTGTCCATTACTAATACTATTAACATTACTGTAATATTTTAATCTTAAAGGCAAACATAAAGATTATTTGCAAGTAAACAAAAGAGGGGTTTGATAAATTGGGGTTAAATGTCATCCATTGTTCCAAACTTAAGTAAACAAAGTACCCCCTTAATGATTTTCAATGTGGTCATTGTTTTTGAATGTACAGTATGGTTAGTCATTGCTGTGGATTTCCTTTTCTTTGTTTCCATCACATCTATAAAGTTCTAGAAATGCACAGCTGTGGTGTGTGTCCACGTCCTCTTAGGGGTCACTGGACAAATATGGAAAGCTCTTTGTTAAAAAGATGATAAACTCCATTAAACTCTTAACCGTTCAGATTATTAGAAAACTGATAGGAATTCTGTTGAGTTGTCTCTTTCATTTGAGACACTATAGATCATTTTAAAATACATTTTTGAGAAGAAATTCCCTTTTTTGGATTTTCATCCTTTTCTATTAATACATACACATAATTACAACTTCAGAGGAGATAGTTGAGACATAATGTGCTTTTTAAGGGTATGAATTTCATGGGTCTTTTAATTTTAGAAATAAAGGAATTTAATTGTAGTTACTTGGATAATAGAGCTATTTTCTATCTAAAAGATTTGCAGCAAAACAAAGGAAGCATTACTTGTTAATACAGTATTTAGATTGCTGGATCTTTATTGTACTTAATGTATTTTTCTATACCTACCATAATCCACTATATAACAGATAAAGAATGTCTGCTTACTATTACGAGTGAGATAAACGTCTTCTTGCTGTGAGAAATAACAGTATAAAAGTGTTTAAAAGTTCTCTCACCCCATAGCTACAACTTTACTTTGTCTTTTACTCTCATTATATCTAACATTTTTAAGGACACATCACATATATAGAGTAGCTACTTTAAAAAATTCTGCTGTAAGAAATACAAAATTTACATAATACAAAAATTAAGTATTTACTTGTATTACAGAAGGTGTCACTGTGCAGTTCAAAGACCACCACCACTTAGTGAGTTTAAGAATTAAGTTAATTTACAAATATATACTTGGAGAACATTTCAACATACAAATGAGGCACACTTGTCCTAGAGAAGCTAAAGTGAAACCTACAGTTTGAAATCCTGGCTTTGCCCTGGGTTGCTAGGTAATCCTGAACAAGCCACATACCCTCTCTGGTTGCTTGTTCTTCTGTAAAATACACTCTGTAGCATTGGATTGTTGAGTGTATTAAAGAAATAGATGTAATTGAGCTTTGTGAAAGTTAAAGGCCGTACAGTAAACACACTTGCCTACAGTAGATACTCAATAAATATTATGTTGAAAAGCAAAGGCTGATTCTCTTCTTTATAACATTCCACACTATGTTTGATGAGATGAAATAGTTATATTTCACTCCATGTTTGTTGTTTGAATTTGCCTGTAAGTTACAACAATTATCAGCAAAGAAAAAAAATAAAACAAAATCCAAACTCACTGCTGTCAACTCAGATCCGACTCATACCGACCCCTCCTTGGTTTCTGAGGTGGTATCACTATGGAAGTAGATTGCCCAACCTTCCTTCTGAGGAGTGGCTGGTGGGTTTGAACCGCCAGCCTTCTGGTTAGCAGTCAAATGCCTTAGGCCGTACGCCACCACAGCTCCCATCAGTAAAGACAGTAAATATTATTTATTTATAGAGGTCATTATGACAGGCTAATATCTAAGATTCTTTAATATTAAAAATAAGAATCTGTCGGTCTCTCACACTGAATAGATGCATTGTGAGTGTGTAATTGTACATTTCTTGAAATCATTTAAAGCCTAGTGTCAAAAATCTAGAGCACACAAACATTCTCATTCTCAAAAATTTAACTTTATAATCATTTGGTATATATTTAGGTGAAAACAAACATACTCTTAATGTTCTAGTGCTTCTGGCCTTTGAAACACAGGCATAATAGTGGTGTTTATAAATTTTGGACTTTGAAAAATTCTTTTTAGTCAGAAGATAAAATTTCTCAGAGGGTGACTACCTCATCAAATGGTAGCACAACTGAGTTGTCCATGTTAAGTGACTGTATTTTTGCATCTTTTCTGGGGACTGTATTAGTATTTCTAGTACTACAGATAGCACAACAGTCATTGCCTTTGAAATGAGAATGAGAGAAAGAGGCCCCAATGGCTTCCACTGTTAGAATCTGGGAAACTTTTCAGATTGCATCTCAAAACATGGGGAATTCTGACGGATGGATGGGCTTGAGCAGACCTTGGACTTGGGGCAATTTGAATTTTTAGACAGGTCTAATTCATCAAAGGATAACTGGTTCCTTTAGGGCCTAATGTCCCTCACACGTGGATCATATTTTTTAACTGTCAGCGAAATTAATTGTTTCAGTGGTTTCTGCTATGTGTTTCATTTTTATTTGTTTTAATGAAAGTGTGTCCCTATCCCTAATGTGATAAATCCCAAGGCTGGAGAAAAATGAACAACAGGCATCATTAAGGGAGGAAGGAGTCACTATAAGGGAGATGGCTGCCCCAGAGAGACCTCTCACAATCCTCTCCTGCTGTCCTCATGTGCTTGGCTTTGCCTCGTATCTTCTTTTGTTGATACCTCTCCCTCCTAATTAAATATTATCATTTCAGTCCACTTCAAGAGTGTGACATGTAGCTGGAAGTCGAAGAAGTATTTTTTTCTTAATTCTACTCACTGATATGAAGCAGTTAAAAGACAACTAAAGCAAACAAATCTGGTTGCTATCAGTTGACTCCAACTTAAACCTACCCATGTGTGTCAGACTAGAACTATGCTAAATCTTTATAATTCAGACTTTGAGATGTACAGGTGTGTGTAGGTTATTTGATTTGTTTGTTTCTCTGTGCCCTGTACTTGACTTCACCTTATTTAAAGCAAAAAATAACAAACTAACATTCTAACCTTGGTCTAGGTTCTGATTATTCCACTGGATTTGCTCTGGAATTTAGTTTTGGAAAGCAAAGAAACAGGTGGACTCTTATGTTCTGATGGGGTATCAAATACCTCTGTTTTGCAATGCTTGAACATAGGTCATTCAAGTCATAGCATCTCACTGTTTCTTCCTGTCAACTTTAATGTGATTATGAATATACTTACACTTTACCTGAAATCTAATAGGAGCATCATTATGTGGGAGTGTTGTTGTTGTTATGTGCCATCAAGTTGGACCCGACTCATAGCAACCCCTCCTTGGGTTTCTGAGGCAGTATCACTACGGAAGTAGATTGCTCAACCTTCCTTCCAAGGAGTGGTTGGTGGATTTGAAACGCCAGCCTTCTGGTTGGTATTACTCTGTCCCTATTCATGTGAAGACTGGATGATTATATGGAAGAAGTCTTGTTAGGTGATTATAGTAGAAACATTTATGATCATATTCATTCCTCTTTAGGGTGAGATTCTTTTGTTCTTCAGAAGTTCCAAAAAGGCATAAAGATTTCTTGGGGTTAGGAAGAATTGAGGTGGTCAGTAGACTTGTGGTAAGTTATAGGTGCCTATCTTTTTGTGGTTCCTTATCCTTTGAAATAGCAATCATAATACTATCCTTTAACTTACCTGATGGATAGAGTAGAAGGATGCTGTGTCCTCAAAATTTGTGTTCAGTCAAATTTCTGTTAGGACTCCAACAACTTTTTTTTTT